GGCCTGACCCTCAAGGGAGCCCCGCACCCGGCCCGGCTCGCACTGGCGAGCCCCTTTGGGAGCTTTCCTCCGAAACCCTCCCCACGCCCTCGGGATCGCCGAGGGACCGGGCCGGAGACCTTCCTCCTGACCCCACACAGGTCTTCCCCGAAGCCCCTGAAACACTCCTGGGCCTCGCGTATGCCTGAGAACCCCCCTGAGACTACTCTCCTCTTTAGCCTGCTCCAGAGACCTTCGTGTGTCCCTACAGTTTTACGCGCAGACCCCCGCCCTTTGACCCCCCCCCCCGTTGCCCATCCTTCTCCAATATGGAAAAATGTACTGCGGAGGCCGCTCGTGTATCTCAGATCTCTCCTCCAGGAACCTCCCTCCTAAGTCCTAAAAAGCTCCCTCTGAGACTCCCTGAAATCGCCCCCAGACCTCTGAGTACCTCAAATCTTACCGGGAGGTGAGCATCGCATATCCCAGAAGTCTTCCCCCAGACTGCCCTCTCACATATCCCTAGTATTTTCCCTCCCAGAAGTCTTAGAGATTTTTACACTTAACCCCCGCCAAACCTTAAGAATGCCCCAATGAACTGTGAACATCTTCCTTGAAGCTCTTCCTACATCCACCAGAAGAGTCTTACTCAGAGATTCTTGAAATATCCCCAAATCACAAAAATTCACCTAGAGGATCTCCAAATCACTACCCTATTGGCAGCTGTCTCCCGTACACACTCCCTCTCACATACCCCTTTGGACCTTTGCGCAGATTCCAAAAATCTAGAGACCTCATGTTCCCCTAAACTCCCCACCCTGATATGGCTCTAGAAATTATCCTCATGTACCCTAACAATCTTCCTAAAACCTCTTTCTCCATTATCCTAAAAATCTCCAGAAATTGCCTGGAGTCACCAGAGAACTTGTGTAGTCCAAAAGCTTCTTCCAAAACCCCTTTTGTGAATCTTAATTTTTTCCCCCATCACATCTCAAAAAATTGAGTAAGGAGCCCAAGAAGTTCCCTTGTAGTGTCATATACTCTAGAACTCTTCTTAAATAACTTGAAAATTCCCTCTTGTAGACCCGTTTTAGATGAATTTTTGTAATGATCCTTCTCATGACCCCTCTGAGGTGCAGTTTTCCACACCTCCTTACATCAGAGACCCCAGCCATCACCTGGAATTCTCCTGAGATGGCCCTTGAAGTCCTTCTCTGAATCCCCTGGAGCCCCTTGAGTCATGAGAGACCTCTTGCCTTACTAAGAGACTTTTCTTATAGATATACTCCCCACTCCTCAAGAACCCCATTTAGAAGATTCCCCACGCACATGCCTAATCTTCCATCAACTCTGAGTTTCTGTGCTGAGAAGCCCAGAATTCTTTCTGAAAAAACCTACTCTGACACTTTTAGGGTCCCTCAAAACTGCCTTCTCCTTCTGCCCATATACTGTTTTGAAGACTTTACTCTCCTCATCAGAGATCTCTAGGGAGTTTTTTGGTAAAAGATCTTTCTGTCATCCTACTCTGGTATACCAAGACCTCAAGACCACACTTTCTCCAGTAACGTTTTAGAGAATTTTCTCCCAAATTGTCCTGCATCAGCAACATCTAGCATTTCCTGAGAACTATCCTTAGGATTCCCCCAAGAAACCCTATTCAGGATTATGTCAGATTTACCCACTTTAGAGGCCTCTTTTTGATCCTCCCATCTCCCGCATTCTCGTTCCTCTGATACTCAGAGACCTTTCTAGGTTCTGAGCCTCCTACATTATGTCTTCATAGATCCTGCCTCCTCCAGATTTCTATCCTTGCGCCTCTATGTCCCCTTTTATTTTATCATTTATTTATTTATTTGTAGTATTAGGGGTCATACTCAGAGGTAATCTACCACAGAGCTACATTCCCAACTCTTCCTATTTTTGAGACAATCTCACTGAGTTTGCCCAGGTGGGACTTGAACTTGTGATCCTACTTCCTCAACCTCCTGAGTAGCTAGTAGCTGGGATTACTGGTGTGTAGCACGAGGCTTCTGTTCTCCTTTTAAAGCTCCTGCACAACTGTTCCCCCTGAAAATCTCAAATCTCAGACTTTTCTCTCAAGACTTTTCTATGAGGTTCCATCCTCATAGACCTCTCTTGCCTTTAAAAGAGTGAGAGACCATTACTGTCCATTTTAAGACTTCTTGAGGATTCTCCCTCTTTTACAGCAGTGGTTCTCAGCATATGTTCCTTGGGCCACAATAGCAGCACTGTTTGCTAAAAATGCAAATTCTTTGATCCCACCTAGGCTTAATGAATCAGAAAACCTGGAAGCAGGTTCTAGCGTCCTGAGTTTTTAACAAACCCTCCTGATGATTCTGATGAATGCTCAATTTTGAGAGCCCCTACTTTATAGGAGGATTTCCCTCCCCCCTTGAAAATGCCTCAGGGTATGCCTTTGAGCCCCCCCCCAACTCTTTATTCCTGCAAAACCCCCTTTATGAAGTACCCATCTTTCAGAAAGACTCCTTACTCTTCTTGAAGGAATCTTGACTTCTCCACAAGGATGCCAGACTCTGAGTAATTACCTCAACATTCTGCCTTTGAATGGTTCCCTCTGATTTCCCTTAGCACTTTCTCCTGGTTTCCCCTTGACCCTTTCAACCTGCCCTCTAGCCCGTCTGCTTTAAACTGTTAACTTCCTTGAACACACCTGTCTGTCTCCTCCCCTTATCCATCTCTCTACCTAAGCATCCTACCCTTGAGGCATCTTTAGTTCACTTTATTCTTTGTCTTAACTGTCAAGAGCTCTCCATTGTTTTGTTTATTTGTTTTTTGAGGCAGGGTCTCACTATGTAGTTCAGGCTGTTCTAGAACTCACTGTGTAGCCCATGCTGGTCTCTAACTCACAGCAATCCTCCTGCCTCAGCTTCCTGAGTGCTGGTATTACAGGTGTGCGCCACCACGCCAGGCTCCATTGTGCTTCTTAAGATACCACTCACCTTCTCACATGTTGTCTGTGGTACTGGGGATTGAACCCAGGGGTACTCTCTTACTGAGCTATGTTGCCAGCCCTTTTTATTTGAGTCAGAATATTACTGAGTTGCCCAGACTGGCCTTGAATTGTGAATTGTGAAATCCTCCTGCCTCAGTCTCCCAAGTAGCTGAGATTACAAATGTGTCCCACTGCACCCAGCTCCTTCGTAGTTTATATATATATATATGTGTGTGTGTGG